TAGTGCAAAACTGCAAAGATGACGCGTCGGTTTCTCATTATTATTCATAGCGGAGTTTTCTTATCCTATGAGAAGAGCCGGTTTCTTAATTATTCATGACTGCGCATGCTTTCTGAAGGCAAGACAGACCTGCCAGTGCCAAGCTGTGAGATCCTATGTTAATGACTGGGTGAGACGCGTCCATGGACCTACGGCACACAGTATTTAGCCGTTCATGAAGGCTCGTATGTGTTTGTTTCCATGATCCACGGGGTTTGTTGCATGTTTTTTCTCCACGATCCTGTCAGGGCAGATATAGCAAAGCTGTTTGTGTGCAGCAAGCATTTTTGTCAGGAGAGCAGTACGAGAATTGGAGAATGGCGGACGTCGTCCTTTATCAGGAGTTCTTTCTCAGTTAGACACATCGCCGTGCTGCTGTGTTTGCCTAAATCCTGCAGATTACCAACAGGGCTAATGGTTAAACTAGACAGGGCAGGAGACCTGCAGCACTGAGTCTCCATTCAGGGATTGAGGGAGAAGTCCTCATTTATAGTGTTTACATGAACACACTTATCTTTATAATGATTTAAATTGTGGTTGTGTGTGTATGAAATTACAAAAAACAAATGTAGCAGGGCATTAAATCACAGTTTATTTATTTGCATTTTAGCTTTGTAAACTATAAATCATGCGTCTCCTCACGGTTTGTGTCTCATTTTGTGAGCCGACTGACATCAGTTGTTCGCTCCCCTCCTTCTACCCGGCTGGCCACGCCCACTCCTGCCCTTTGCTCGCAGAGCTCCACGCCCATTATGAGGCATCTTTTGAAAAAATTCTGAGGTAGACCTGAACCGAAAGTGGGGGTGTCATGACCCTTTACCCTAATTACCCTAGTGAAGCCTTTAAATTTCACTTTAAGCTGAATACTAGAGTCTTGAAGAATATCTGGTCTAATTATATGTACTGTCATCATGACAAAGAAAAAATAAATCAGTGATTAGAGATGAGTTGCAGATCATTGCCCTCTAAATAACACACACACACACACACACACACTCACACACACACCAGCCATGCAGATGACACAGAGCTCTGTTTATTCGTAATGCCAAGAGGAGAAGAATGGGCATATGCTGCTACAAGCAGGAGCATTTGTTACACACATACACACACACACACACACACACATACGCACACTAACACACATATACGCACACAGAGGGAGACACACGCACATGCACACTCACACAGATATAAAGACATGCAAAACAAATATGTAAACACACACACTCACACACTCACACACACACACACACACACACACACACAAGCAATCACGCACAAACACAAAGACACACAAACACACCCACATTCTATTCTCAACCAATAAAAGCATTAAAGACACTCTGAATGATGAGAAGTGGCCAATGAGTGATCTTAACAGCACAATTCTCACATTACTGAAATGCTGATATACAACACTGTCAACAATATACAGTAATACTGCTGTTTGGGTGGCAGAACATTATCAAATATAATAATATAATTCAGAACTTATTCATTCATTTTCCTCTCAGATTAGTCCCTTTATAATTCAGGGGTTGCCACAGCGAAATGAACCACCACCTTATCCAGCATATGTTTTATGCAGCGGATGCCCGTCCAGCTGCAACCCAGTACTGAGAAACACTCATATACACTCATACATAACAGCCAATTTAGTTGATCAATTCCCCTATAGCGCATGTGTTTGGACTTTGAGGGAAACCGGAGCACCTGGAGGAAACCCACACCAACACAGGGAGAACAAGCAAACTCCACACAGAAACAACAAATGAGCCAACCAGGGCTCGAACCAGCGACTTTCTTGCTGTGAGGCGATCGTGCTACCCACTGCACCACCCTGACACCCATAACTCATAATTAAATATAACAAATCATTCATTCATTTTCTTTTCAGCTTAGTCCCTTTATTAATCAGGGGTCGCCACAGAATGAACCGCCAACTATTCCAGCATTTGTTTTACGCAGCGGATGCCCTTCTAGCTGCAACCCATCACTGGGAAACACCCATACACACTTATTCACACTCATACACTACGGCCAGTTTAGTTGATCAGTTCCCCTATAGCGCATGTGTTTGGACTGTGGGGGAAACTGGAGCATCCGGAGGAAACCCACGCCAACATGGGGAGAACATGCAAACTCCACACAGAAACGCCAACTGACCCAACCAAGGCTCAAACAAGCAACCTTCTTGCTGTGAGGCGATTGTGTTACCCACTGCGCCACCGTGACGCCCATAATAAATCATTAAATATGATAATTTACTATTATTATGTAACATCTGTCTTCAATGTGAAAATAATGAAAAATGCTAAATTAATATAATCATGATTAAATAACATCTAAAATGTGAATATTTGCCATATTTAATACATCTTTTTTTAAATGTAGAAATTAAATGTATTCAATTAAAAATGTGCAATAATCCAGCTATTTATTAGTGAAGAAGACTCACCGAAGTCTGCCAGCTTGAGCTCTCCGGTGTCGCTGATCAGCAGGTTCTGTGGCTTCAGGTCTCGGTGAAGGATGTAGCGCTGATGAATATACGACAAACCCCTCAATAACTGGAAGAGGAACAACTGCGGAAACAACAGAAGAGTTCACTGTGAGCATCACAAATCATATTGACACAACATACACACACAATCACGACATAACCTACAACACAGAGCTGCAGGTTTCACACTAGAGCTGCTATGGAAGAGAGTTTAAAGCATGAGTACATGAAAATATAGTATTTGTAACTTCAACAAAGATTGCTTGCATTTACAGTTAAAGTCAGAATTATTTGGCAATCCTGTGACTTTCTTTTTTTCAAAAATATTTCCTAAATGATGTTGAACAGATTCAGAAATTTTTCTACATATTTCCTCTAATATTTTTCTTCTGGAGAAAGTCTTATTTGTTTTATTTTGGCTAGAATAAAATAATTCTTAATTGTTTTAAAGCCATTTTAAGCTCAATATTATTAGCCCCCTTAAGCTATATTAGTTTTGGATTGTCTCCATAACAAACCACTGTTATACAATGACTTGCCTAATTACCCTAACTTTACCCTAATTACCCTAGTGAAGCCTTTAAATGTCACTTTAAGCTGTATAGAAGTGTCTTGAAGAATATCTAGTCTAATATTATTTACTGTCATCATGACACAGAGAAAATAGATCAGTTATTAGAGATGAGATATTAAAACTGTTATGATTAGAAATGTGTTGAAAACATCTTTTCATTAAACAGAATTTGGGGGAAATAATTCTGAATTCAACTGTATATATTTTCCAAGTGTTACTTAATGGAAAGATTTGCTGACTCATTTCTAAACAATAGTTTTAATAACTCATTTCTAATAACTGGGGATGCACGGTGGAGAAGTGGGTAGCAAAAACGCTTCACAGCAGGAAGATCGCGGGTTCGATTCCCAGCTGGGTCAGATGGCGTTTCTGTGTGGAGTTTGCATGTTCTCCCCATGTTGGCGTGGGTTTCCTCTGAGGTGCTCCGGTTTCCCCCACAAGTCCAAAAACGTGTTAAAGGTGGATTGGGTAAACAAAATTGTCTGTAGTGTATGAGTGTTTCCCAGTGTTGGGTTGCAGCTGGAAGGGCATCCGCTGTGTAAAACATGTGCTGGATTAGTTGGCGGTTCATTTGTGGTGACCCCAGATTAATAGTGAAACTAAGCCGAAAAGAAAATGAAAGAAATGAATTTCTAATAACTGATTTATTTTCTCTTTGCCATGATGACAGCACATTATATTTTATTTACTAGTTATTTTGCATGATACTATTCAGCTTAAAGCGACATTTAACGGCTTTAGGTTAATTAGGCAAGGTTTTCCTGTATAGCCTTGTAATACGTAAAACTGTCAGCCAATCGCAGCTATGGGTGTGTACTTCTTAGTCTACATTTGGCCCCGCCCACTCAGAGCGTTCCTATCAGGCTCAAAAACAGCACAGAAAATAGATGTACAATAAACTATTCTGTCTATTGATGCAAAATATTGATACTATTATAAGCTGAGCACAGAGAATCAACCACAAAAACTGCTTTACTTACAGTTTTTGTCTTGTTTTTAGGTTAAATATCTTAAAATTCTTAAAACAAGAAGTATTTATTGGACAAGTAAAATATATTGTCTTGTTATCAGAAATAATATACCAAAAATAAGTTAATTTTTCAATAAAACAAGCTAAATAATCAATGCCAATGGGTGAGCAGAATAATCTTTCTTTTTTGTTTTGCCATAAGATTAATTTGCTCACACCATTGGCATTGAATATTTAGTTTCTTTTAATGAAAAATTCACTTAATTTTGGCATATTATGTCTGAAAACAGGACAATACATTTTACTTGTCTAGAAAACGCTTCAGGATTTAAGCATTTTCTGATATTTGGGCTAAAAACAAGACCGAAATAATTTAAGAAAAGCATTTTTGCAGTGTAGCACAGAATAAAAGAGTGAGGTAGTTCATGACACCTTTAAGAGTTCAATATCGTTCAATACTGGATCAATCATGAAGTCTGAATGTCTAAAAGAGAACCGTGAGCGAGCAATACTCAAACACATCTGAGCAAAACAAAGCCACAGTTTCACATCCATCTGAAAAAAGCCATTTAAATGTCTCCTTCAAGAAAAACAATCAGAGTCTCGGCCAATTAGGCAAAGCAGGAGAGCGAATCGTCCAATCAGAGGAGCTGTAACTGCCGTCTGGAGTCTTTCTTCATGTTCAGTCACGTGCACACAAACATGTTTCAGTTGAGCTTCTGCGTATTAAGAGGAAGATCTTCAACATTTACAGCAGATCCAGCAACACTTCACACTGATCACCTCCGCAGAAACAGCACACGGTCACATTAACCTTACAGATTCATCCACAGGACAGAGGAAAGACTCGCAAACGAGGACAATATTACTCAAATAAAAAAAACATGTCATGACAATAATTAAAATAATAAAATAAATAAACAAGACAAATAGACCTTCTTGCTGCTTATTTCCTAAAATTAAATAAAAATAAATATAAATGACATATATTAAACCACTGACATGTTTATTTAAAATATATAATTTAATGTTAACATTTGTGTATTTGTGTTTTGATTTAAAGTAAACATTAAATTTGTATTTCTAAAAGAGAAATTGATTCACATTATAAATATTAAAGGTATTTTTATACTGGACAATGAAATATACATTAATGCAAAATAAGCAAACTAAACAACATCCATAAAACCCAACAGTTCTGAGTGAAGCTGTACAGTATACAATGCTGATCTAAATGACATCGCCCATACTGTACTATATATATATATATATATATATATATATATATATATATATATATATATATATATTAAGAATGTAACAAGACGCCTATTCGTATTGAACCATTCGGTACGAGACTTTCGGTTCGGTACGCATTACAAACCGAACGATTCTGCATTCCCCGCCCACCTCCAAACACTGCTCCAGTCAGGCACACGCTGTAGCTCGGAAAATGGCTAGTAACGTTAATGTAATCCTCCTATAGACCTTTTTCTTGGCAGTTACATGAAGGGCGCCGTAGCGACCACACTGTAAACTTCCTATAACAGCGTTTACAACTGGTAGTTTGCGCTCCGAAAACAGGTTTCAATAGCGTTTTGTGTGGATTACGGAGAGTTTTTGTGACACACAATGTAATCTGGGAGATGTGGTTCAAACGCGAGAGAAATTGTTCTCCTAGTTCACATGTCTGCCATCAGAAATACAGTATGTGTGTGTGTGTGTGTGTGTGTGTGTGTGTGTGTTTCCCTGAGCCTGTCAGCAGTTAGCTCAGCGGCTCTTCAACACACACACATGCACGCGCAAAACTTCACTGCATTATAGAGCAAACCAGATGACTGGCATCAAACTTTTGCGTTCTAAGAAAAAGGTCTATAACCAACAGCGGGTCTGGCGTTTGGGAGCATTTTGGTTTCCCTTTAAGTTATGAGGGTGATGGCAAGAGAGTGGTGGAAAAAACAATGACATCTGCCATGACAGTAAGCTGTTTTAGCGGTAATATTTGAGCATGTCAACTCACTTACACTGACATCACGGAATCAGTAACTGGAACTGGAACAGCATTCAGACAGGCGATTCCTACAGTTTCGAACAGGGCAAACAAATCACCGGGGCGATGGGTACTTTTATAGCTGTGCTCATGAGAGAACTTAATCGGTAGGGGAAATTTCGGGTTTTAAGAAAATGTTAAATGTAATAGAGCCCCGTTACATGATTCCTTCATGAGCCCACTTCAGCCAGATAATTCCTGCTCTTAGATCCACTGAAATGTCAGTCAAATCAAGCAGATCTGTGCTGTCTGAGGAAAAGGTGGACACTCATCTTTCTGACAATAAAACAATACTTAAATTAGATTGAAATTGAGTTCTATATAAAAACTAAATTGTTCTTTTCTTTTTATTTGTTTAACTGCTACAATATTACATTATTTTTTATAAGCAGCTTTTTGGTTTAAAGAAGGATTTGTTTTATTCGCTGCTAAGCAGAAACCCCAGAAGTATAGCTCTATCACTGTTTGAAGTAAAAGAAAAAAAAACAGGATCAAACTTTTATGATGTTAGTTTTAATACATAAAAAATTTAATCAGAGAAATCCTCTGGCTTTTTTCTTTTTTTTTGCTGTATCGAAAACGTACAGAACCGTGACACCACTGTGTCGTATCGAACCGAACCATGATTTTTATTAACCGTTACACCCCTAATATATATCACAGCAAGAAGGTCGCTAGTTCGAACCTCGGCTCAGTTGGCGTTTCTGTGTGGAGTTTGCATGTTCTCCCTGCATTCGCGTGGGTTTCCTCCGCATGCTCCGGTTTCCCCCACAGTCCAAACACATGTGGTACAGGTGAATTGTGTAGGCTAAATTGTCTGTAGTGTATGAGTGAGCATATGAATGTGTGTGTGGATGTTTCCCAGAGATGAGTTGTGGCTGGAAGGGCATCCGCTGCGTAAAAACGTGCTGGATAAGTTGGCGGTTCATTCCGCTGTGGCGACCCCAGATTAATAAAGGGACTAAGCCAACAAGAAAATGAATGAATGAATGAACTTCTATTTCTACATCAATTTTTTTCTGTGTTTACATATTTACATATCATACTATTGATGAATGTGTATGAGATCCACTAGAGGCCGCTCTACATTTTTTAAAATCTGAAATGCCACTTAGGGTGTGTTTTGTTGTATGTATCAAACCCACTGGAGAGCGCTCGCTACATTTTTACAAATTTGAAATACATCACTTAAGGTACATACAGTTGCATGTTTCAAATGACAAATCCACTAGAGGGCGCTGTCTACATTTTGATGAATCTTAAATACGTCAATTAGGGCACTTTTTGGTATGTTTTACATCACAAATACACTAAAGGGTGTTGTCTTTATTTTGCGAATCTCAAATACGTCACTTAGGGTACGTTTTGTTGTACATTCCAAAGGACAAATGCACTAGAATGCGCTGTCAATACTTTTGCAAATCTGATCAATTTATTTAGTGTACATATTGTTGCATGTTTCAGATGACAAATCCACTAGATGGCGCT